TAAAACTGAAAACTGCTATTTTATAGGTGAAAGAAGAACATAGTGGATCATACACTTGCACTCCCTTTAACGAACTTGGTACTGATGGACCCTCACCAAAAATGAATGTTTTTGTTTTAAAATCCCCAGTTTTTACCATCACTCCTCAAATGTTGTACATTCGAAGAAAGGGAGAATCTCTTCATATTCCTTGCGAAGCCACAGAAGAACACAAAATACATAAACCGAATATAGTATGGTTGAAAGTAGGTTTTTTTTTTTAATCAATAATACCATTCGGTTCAAAATAACAACAAAATAAATCGAGGAAATGTATTTTACAGAATGGAAAATTTTTTGTTCGTGGAAATTTGACGTTGATGGATTTACAAGAAGAAGACAGAGGAGTTTATCAATGCATAGCTTCAAATGCGGTAACTTCCATTTTTGCAGAAACTGAAGTTATGATTGAAAATACAGCTCCTCGAGCTCCCTATAACATTCAAACGGATTCAACAATAGACACAATAACGGTTAAATGGAAATCTGGTTTGACAAAACCAAAGCTTGATTTTAGCGTCTGGTACAGAACAACTGATTCTTCGACATGGGAATTTTTACCCCTTCTTGCCACGAATACCAAAGAATACGTCATTCGAAGTCTTCAACCTGGAACAGAATATGAAGTTATGGTTCTTTGCAGAGATGCTTTCGGAGATGGAATGTTTAGTAAATCTGTGGTTGTTAAAACAAAAGGTGCTAAAGATTTTTCTTTTAATTTGTACATTTTTCCAAATAAAAATTTTTTTTTTACAGGGTTTAAAACTTTATTATTAGTACAAAACCGTTAAATTTGAAAAAATTAAAATTTTTTTTTAACAATGGTAATATTTCAAATTTTTTAAATTTTTTTTTACAGGAGAAGCAAATAATATGAAATTTGAAAATAAATTACAACAAAATTTCAGAGATGGTATGTAATTTTCATTTCATATATTAAATTATTTTTTAAACAAGTTTTTTAACTTTAAATTCTAAAGTTTTAATATTTTAAAATCATAACAAATAAGGTTTTATACAAACAGTCGTAACTCTGAGACAATAATAATAATAATATTTAATATTATTCACAATCTCTTTTATATTAGTTATTTTTTTTTTCAGGCGTACGTTGTCAAAAAAAATTTAACAAGAAAACATAATTAATAAAATTAAATAAAATTTATACATATATTATGATTTTCTAAAAATTTAATAATAATTATCACTAATTAAACTAAAAACATATATAATTATTAATTGTTATTAATTTCTATTTTTTTTTTTTATTAAGAGTTAATTAAATTAATAAAAATATTTTACATTTTATTATTTAACCTTTTTTTTTAATAAAGTTTAATATCGATTTTCCTGAAAAAAAAAAAAAAAAAATTTAGTATTTTTCTTTATTCGAATTTATTTGTTTAAAATTAATTGAATTATTATATTATATTAATATTTTATAAAATTTTATCTGTAATAATTTTAATTTAAACTAAATTGCCAAAGATTATAACGAATAATATTTTAAAATAAAATGTAATAACTATAATTTAAATTTTAATTATTAAAAATAATTTAGTATTTCGTCTATAATTTTTTTTTTTTAGTTTATTTATCCTTTATTAATTTTTTTAATAAAAGATAAATTTTTTTTTTTTTTTGTATTCATTCAAATTTTTAAATAGTTTTTATTATTAATTTATATTAAAAAATAATAAATTTCGTATTAGCCATGAGAAAAATTTAAAAATAAACATAAGAGATAAATTACTAAACTCATTTAAATAAATAAAATAATAATAATAATAATTTCCACGGATTAAATTTTAATAAGGTATCGAAAATAAAAAGAAAATAATTTTTTTCAGGTATCAGTACCGTACCAGATAAAAATTATTATGAAATATCTAAAAATATTAGCATTGAAATATCGGAAGAAGGATGTATGATTAATTGGTATTTTCCCAACGAAGAACCTGATTTGGAACACTATGAAATCCAATATGTCGAAAATGGAATGCTCAACAATGCAATAACAAAGGACCCATTTTACTTAGGTAAAACAAAATTACAAAAAAAAATGAAAATGTTTTCTTAAATGTTTCATTGATTAAATGTATCCTTTATTTGTGTTACAGTTAAAAATTCACATCAAGAGGATAATTGTCAATTTCAAATATTCGCAGTGACAAAAGGTAAAAATTATATAAAAAGTTCTTTTTTTATAATAATAAATTCTTCGTCGAAAAAAAAAATAAATGCCGTCATATTGGGAGTAAGTTTCGGTATGTTATTTTAATATTTACATCATTAATTAATTGGTTTATTCACAGACAATTTTTTAAAAAATAACAACTACATTTTCCATTGATAAAACACACACTTAAAAACAAACGGAAGTTAAAAATTTTCATGTCACCACAAAGACGTTTTTTTCATATAATTTCCTAAATTAATCATAATATTTGTGTCAGTAAAACACGTTCTTTTGTTACGTTCATTCTCGACAATATAAATTACATTATTAATTTAACAACAATTCAAGTCAGCCATTATTTTTAATTTAATAATATAATAGGATTGTTTAAATTTAAATCAAATTTTTTTTTTTTTGTTAAATTAAATATTATTATAATTTTTTTAATGTTGTGATTACTTTTAGTTTTTAATCGAATAAAAATAAATATAATTTTTAAAATTTTTAGTAAAAAAAAAAAAAATACTGACAACATTATTTTTTTCTTTTTATTAAAAGTAATAATTATTGAGAATCGGAACTGTCTTCTACAGCTTCTGATGCCATTGCTTCTCTATTTTCATAAGTCCAAAAACCATTAAGATCAATCAATATGCTAACAACAGTTTCACCTTGACCACATTGAAATAAATCCTAAAATACATAATTGTTAACTTATTAAAACCGGTTTTGGAAAACTTACAACAGATTTCTTATATTTTTATCTTACAGTTTCATAACTCACTTTTAAAGTTATTTTAAATGGGTCAGCTGGTTTAACCATATCAAATATTTCATCTTTTATATCTTCAAAAGAAACAGGTTCCTGACCGTGTGCAGTCATTTGTTCTTGAATGGCTCTAATTAAATAAAAAAAACTCATAGGAATAAAAATTATCATTATAAATAAAATTTTAAATGACATACCTAAAAAAATAATTAAATGAAAATGTATCTAAATAGCCTTTGCTGTTAATGTCTAATATTCTAAATAAATACTGTAAACTTTGAGGTTCTTGTCTGTTTTCTAAAGCTAAAACCAAATCTAAATATGTTTTGTAATCCATTTCGCCTTCATAGGTTAAACATTCTTGAAATACTCTATCTAAAAAGGCATTTGTTAGGGTGCCAGTTCCATACCTGTAAATTTATCATCAGATTAATAAGGATCACAAAATTTTTTTTTAATTTACCTCACCAAGAATTTTCACTAATAAAAAAACTTTCCCAGCTAATTCCTCCTTATTTAACATTCCATTGTGATCTTTGTCCAAGTTTAAATATTGTCCATAAACTCTTAAAGCAGAAGGTACTGAAAACCAGTTTCCATCTTGTGCATCCTAAAATGTTATACTGATTTAAAATAACCTTATAACATTTTAATTGTATAATTTTTAATGTAAAACCTTTTTTTACCTTTGGCAATTCTTCGTCTCTTAATTCTAATAGATCATCTAAAAAACTACATGCTAAAATATCTTGAATTCTAACTTTTCCTGTCCTTAAAGGATCCAAAAAAAATAAAAACTTTCTGACAGCTGTGCAAACATAAAAATTATGAAATGATTTTTCCAAACCATCTAATTGTGTTAGAGTAGGTATTAATTCTTGAATATAATTTTCTAAATCTGATTCTCTTAGATATCCTTGGCCAGTTTGATCATACAAAGACAATCCTAAAAGGGGGGGAAAAAAAACTTTCATTCTGTTTATTTATATTATAACAATGTTATTTTTCATTATAATAAATTAAAATACAATTTAACCTATTCTAGTTTGATGCAACCATACTTTTTTCATTATGTAATTAAAAAGGGACATAACACTGATTCTTCCATAATTATCTCCCTGTTGAAGTTTAGCAAAAACTTCAGGAACAAAATAAGGCTTGCATTTGGCACCTAATATAAAATTTATAAAAATAATTTTTAAAAAGGAACAGGAATTGAAAAAAAAAGTTTTGAAAGTCATTCAATTTGTAAATTATTAACCTGCTAAAGAAGCAACTTTCAAAAAGTCTTGGTAATTAATAAATTGTTCGTCGGAATAATAAGGAGGACTGTGATGTTTATCTAATAATATCCATAATGAGTTTAATTCATTACTTCCAAGTAGTTCTCTGTTTCTTCTTTGAAGAAACATAGCACGGGATTCTTCTCTTAATTTAATGGCTAATTTTTCATGCTCTCTGGGAAGCTTAAAATAAAATTTTGGTATTGTTCCAGATTTTTCATTTTTATCGCAATCATTTTGTTTTTGATAATATTTATTAAATGCAGCACATTCAATTTTAACATTATTTTCAGCTATTTCTTCTTTGGTTTTTCCAAAACTTGATTGCGAAGCAGTTTTTTGTAATAAAGTTTTTAAACTCATACTTTATATATTAATACATAACCATACATGGGAAATTTTATTTATTTTATGTAACCAAGTTTGCCAACATAAAAAAGCGCGCCATTTTTTTGATCTATTATTAACAGTGTAAGTAGTTTAGAGTGTCAATAGTTTTATTAAACACTCAGAAGTAAAAGTAACCGTTGTGATTCTAAAATGTGTTTAAAGGAATTAATTAGAGTAAAATTTTTCAAATGTAAAATAAATTTGTTATATCTAACAGTTTAATGTCCAATGAAACAATTATTTGGTTTACATTTTATCAGTGTTACTACTAAGTTTTAATATAAATAAGAAAAACAAATATGTCTACAGTCAGCGGTACTTTGAGGATTCGGTTTCCATATAACACGAATCAGGACAAATTTCCATATAAATTACTAAAAGGTTAGTTTAATTTT